GTGGTACATTGGGGACTATTAGTAGTGGTGGTAGTAGTAGGAGGAGGAGGGGGAGGAGGAGATGGTTCTGCCTAGGTTTCTCCTTACAAGGAGGCATGCCGAAGAGACCAAGGGGGGCTTTAGCTCAAAAGAGCAGCTTTTGAGCAGGGAGCAGGGAGAGGTCAGGTTTTTTGGGAGGAGCAGAAACTAGAGCCGGTCACATTTTAAACCTAAGAGATAAGGCAGAATGGACAGGATGTCCAGAAACAGCCAAGTTTCTACAGAGTTTTTTCCTCCAGGCATGCTGTGTTATTCCGTCTTTGTCCAGGGGGATGCACTTGATCAAATCACTCTCTTTTCTATTAAGGGAACATGATGTAGCAAACTAAATAATGCTGGTACTATTGATCATATGTTAATAAAGCCCAGAGTTCCTGAAGTAGGATCACAGAGGGTGTACATGAGGGAAACATATCCAGGCAGAAAGTACTGTAATAGATGTTTCAGCTAGTTAATGTTTACCTACTACCCTTCTGGGCTCCTTTTCCACAAACCCTCCTAAGAAACCTAGTGTTGTTCCCATTTTCTAGCACATGTGGTTCTGGGATCTATTTTCTTCCATCCTGTACCATCATCTTGCTTGAGCCAAAATTATTGAGGGAGGTGCCTGCAAAGCAGGCACACACTCGAACACATTGCAGCTGCGAGTAGGGTCACTTGTTTTAAACATGTGATAAAAATTCCCTGGGGAGTTTTAAAGCACTAGTTGCTTTTGGTGTTTATTTTATTCAAGATTGCAGAGTATCAAGCAGAACTTGGACATGCTAGCTGCTGCTTTATTCTCCTCTGAAGAGCTATAGCCTCACAGAGCTCCAGAAAGCTAAATTACAGTTTGCTTTCACTGGTAGGCTGTGAAGTCCTTGTGACAAACTTGATCCAAAGAGAGGTGTAGATGAAGGTGAAAAGTGGACAACAGGTCTTGAAGCTCTGGGGGTTGGAAGAAAATAAATCCCTCTCTCAGAAAGGCATGAGGCACAAGAAGGTTTTCTGTAGCTCCAACATATAATTGCTTTTGACTTTCAACCTATATCTGTCCTACTTACTGTGTGTCTTTGCTCAGGGCTAAAGGTATTTGAACACAGTGGTCCCAAAAAGGGGCAATAACAACTGACAGAATGGCTACTCCAGCCATTGTCATAATTCATTTTTTCATGATGTGTTGCTTCCACTGCCAGCTCCAGTCACTGTAATATTTCTGTATATATACAACTTATACACAGGTTTGGGTCTTTTTCTACAGTACTTCCTTTCTTTTGAAGAAACAAAAGGTATCTTCTGCCTCAAAGTTTCCCCCTTTTTTTTTTTTTAACATTTTGATGACGAGTCTGCTTTTACTTACTTAAAAAGACAGCACCAATGTTAGCTTTGTTTGGTTTTGGGGGGAGGGTTGCAGTGTAGACAACCTCCACCCTAACTCCAACCAGAGTGACCCAATCCTGTAGTGGTAGGCCTTCCTCTGCTGGTGTGCAAATACCTGTGGAAGCAATGTGGACTTTGCCAGTATGTCCACTGCCCGCTGTGAGAGGTGTAGCATGGGAGTACTGGACACTGACAGCTCACTCCATGGCAGCACAAAGGATCTCACCTGAGCCTCTCTACAGGTCTCTAATGAGGCAGCTGTACTCATAGGAGCGTCTTTGGGGCTGCTTTTCTCCAGTACAGACCCTGCCCCTTTTGTCTTCCTGGCACTTACAGCCAAGACTGGTCAGCACAGGACAGGGCAGGCAGGAACTGCTTGGTCTTCAGACTGCAGCATACCTCACCCCCAGGCTCATCTGAGCTAGACCTTCCTCTGCCAGCCCCATGCAGGCCCCGGGGAGGCTGCACAAAGAGAGCTCTCTGCTGCTGCAGAGAGAGTTGGCTGTTCTGAGGGGGTGCAGGAAGCCTGTAGAAGTATCTCACTGAGCAGAGTTGCTCTAGAGACAGGCAGTGATATTGTCCTGCAGAAAGCCTTTGGACTGAGCTGCTCCAGGGGCCTCAAGACTGGAACAACCTTTCTTGCAACAGAAGCGTTGTCTTGGCCCCAGCTGCGCGCAGGATGGCAAGAATGCGTATCCCTACCAGTGTCAGAGGGCTTCTCTAGGATCCACAGCTGTGATGGGAGCAGTTGACTGACCCTCTCAGTCCCTCTCTTTTGGCTTTACAAAAGTAGAAGGCCTCTAGTGAGACCAGACCACAGCCAGGACCGTTCACCTTTGCAGGAAGCTTTCTACAGTACCAGTTTTCCAGTGACCCCTACAGAGCTATTGCAGAAGCCTCTGCTGGGGTCACTGGGGTCACAGAAGTCTTGTTAAGGCAGCTAGACCAGCCCTTTGGCAGGGAGAGGACATGGGTCCACCCTCCAGCATACTAGGCCCATGCCTTAACATCAAAATCACTCCATCCTGCTAAGATTTCAGCTTCATGCTTTCCATAGGCTTTCCAGGGAAAGGCACATCTAAATGTGAGACAGACAAGTTCCTGAGGAGAAATACGTACAGCAGTAAGCTGACTTCAGATATGGTGATAATTACAGACTAGCACAGAAATTTGAGCCTCTTCTGTTCTAAAGACAAAATGTAAAGTTAGCTGAGCCAGCAGAAACAGCTGGTAGGTATTTGTGTGAGCTACCTGGCCTCACTGTCAGCAGTGCCATAATGCCTTTATGGCATGCTGCCAGGGTATGACAAGCCATATAGTGGAGGAGCAACCTACCTCACTACACATTAGGAATTCAGAATTAGCCTCACACACCTATCTGTCTGATGCATTAGTAGAGAGAAAAATCTCCCCCTTCGAGTCTCTTTTATGTGCTTGGATAAAGATAAGAGTGTCTTAGCTGGTGCAAGGCAGACACTCTGACCAGGAAAATGGCAGGTTTTGGAGACATTTGCTAGCAGTATTTCCTCACTCCTTTAACCTATCCTTCAAAACAGAGCTAACTGTAGTTTAACCTACAGCTGATTTCACACTGTAATTTTAAGGATCTGAGATACCACTTCACATCACCATTTTCAGCATAACTTAACACACATCTGGCAAATACAGAGACTTTTGGTTTGTGCTACATAGCAGATCTGATGCACCCTTGCATCTATATAACAATTTTTTAAAGTTTAATATAGTGAGAAAAGATTAATCTTTTCTTAAACCACCCTTTATTAAAAAACATAAGCATTTGTAAATATATAAAATTATAAAGCACCAAGTACTTCTTGCTTCCCAGTACAGTAGGACTCAGGAGTGGCAGGTAAATTTGGTGTTAATCTGTTCGGTGTATTAGGCCCACGGCTGCAGAACTGACCAGCTAGTTTTGCAAAAGTCATCTAATCTCATTCCTCTGGCAGGTCCAAACTGATCTTGTTTCACCTCAGTTTCAGACCTCCTTCCCGCTGCTTTTGACAAACATCAGTGCTTACTGGTGAGAGCATGACTGGAGCTCTAGGAACTAGCAGGTTCCCTAGAAGGATGCGGCTAGGTTTTTTACAAAGGGAGAGATTTCCAGCTGCTAATGGGGAAGAGAATTCAGACACTGAGAGAGCTCCTCTGTACAGTGTTCCTCAGGGAAAGTGCATCCTTTGCTTTGTGATCAGCCTATAGCTGGACCGGACAAAGCCAGTCACAGGTCCAATTTGCATCAAGTTCCCTTAATCAGCAAGTACTCAGATCACCTTGCAAGATGTGTGGTATGAAGTATCAACAAGTTCCATCTATCTCATTTTTTTACCACTGAAATGTTATAGGGTAAAAAGTTCTTAGGTTGTACATCTAGCCCTGAACACCAAAGCAGAACACTGGGCTGCTGTGGAAGTACTGTAAAATGAAAAATTTAGTTGTACCCATTGCAATTGTTAGGGTAACTGAACTCCAGATGGGATCTTTCGTGTCACTACCCATCTCTTCTAACACTGAAGAACAGCTGCCAGTTGCGAAGAGAAGAAGGTGCTTGTTGATGTTGTTTCTTACTTGGTCTTCCCCAAAGAGCCCCTATCATCTGCAGAAACTTATCACAGGTCCCTGCATTCTCTAAGTCGTCACCTTTGCCAGTTCTTCTGCCATCTTCCACCACACCAGGCACTGCCATGTCATTCCCCAGAAAGTGAGCTGCCCTCTCAGTGTTCCCCTGTAAGAGAGCATGACTTGGCCTGGAGACGGTACACTACCCTAATCTTACACCAGCAGGTTTGTCTCCTTGTGGAAAACCTAAACCACTGGAATTGCAGGAGAGAGGGAGAAACAACAGAAGCCCAAGTAAAACAAGTTTATCCTGAATGTCTCAGCATTGGGCAGGGCACCAGAAGGGTAAGGAATGCTGCCATATATAACTTATGCTGCTTATTGGTATTTTCTTTTACAGGCAGCACTGCAGGCAGGGCTTTTCTTTTCCTCTTTGTAGGAGAGGACAAAGTGGCTCATTGTAACAGACTTCTATTACAGATCACATACCTACATTTCCCTGCTGCAATGGAAGGATGCTCTAGCTCCTACTGCCCTTTAGCTGAGACACAATTAGCTCCAACCTTAGACTGGAAGAGTTGTTATGCTGTACAAGAACCACAGTCCTTAAACAGAAGTTTTCCACTAAGTTTGTGATAGGCACAGCTTCTACCCCTCTGAAAGCTTCACCCCTGATTCAAGTACATGAAAATGAAACAATGGCTGCAATATGATGCTCTTCTCCTCTGCAACATTTCTTTAGCTTGAATCAAGTCAGCTAAAAATCCCTGTTACCTGCATAGTTGTCCAGTCCCACTTTGACCTTTCTGGCAGTGCAGCCTTTCTTACAGCCTGGACTCACAAATAAATACAAGATTGGGGGAAGCACAGCAAAGGTGCCCCAGTAACTCTGCTCTAGCCCTTGCTTGTTGTGCAACAGAACCCAGATATCCCAGTGTGCCAGCTGAGCATTTGCTGTCATGGTCACTGCCCACAGGCCTGAGTCCTTCCTTTACTGGGCCCTTGACATCCCCTTTTTGGCCTGGTTAGGGTTCAGGAACATCTGCTGTTGCTGTGTCTTCTGCCTTGACCAAATCACCACTGTTTGTCTCAGCATGGAGCCGCTTGTAGTCAGTGTGGAAGAAGATGACATAGAAACAAGCCATAGCACTGCAGAGGCCAGCCAGCACCAGTACCGGAGCTGCAAGAAAGAGACATTTTTAGATGGTGAATTCACAATTCCCCATGGGTGCAGAATTCTAGAGGTCAGCTCCCCAGGAACTGCACAGCCTGGGTGATCTCCTCCCAGGGGCTACCCATGAGGACAGTGTGCAGCTCACAGTGGGGCAATGCCAGTTTGGCAAGAGCCAAACCTTTTATCACATAACACTGGCATAGGAAGAGGATTTGTGTGAAATGTGGAAGGTTTCAAGGACTCTTGTCCTGCATGACCCTGCAGGTTGGAGGTCTTACACCGGTGCACACAGTGTGTTTGTGGGAGTGTATGTTTCTGTGTATGTGCATGTTTGTGTGTTTGGGGGTGGTGAAGAAAGTTACAAAAAAGACTGAATCAAAACACTTGAGCTTCCTAAGAAAACAGTTCCACACAGGTAGTGCTTCTTGTTATATCATCCAAGAGCAAAGTGTAGGAAAGGTTCGCTAAGGATAAACTCTAATCAAAGAAAAATTTGTGTTGAAAGAACCTTTTCTGAAGAAAAAAATGGGCTATGCAACAAGGCCTGGAAGTAGTTACATTCTCATTCCAGCAGTGTCTCAAATAAACACCTCCATGCCTTTCTCCACAGATGTCCCTGCACATATCAGACCACAAAATGAGTAGGAACAGGTACCGAATTATGAGATCCAGCTCTGATCTGATGAGATGGAGAGTTGTGGGCTTTCAAACATGAAGCAGTCAAATTGCTTTTTGGGGGCAGTTCTTGTGAAACCTTGTTCCCTGCCAGCTAGTGGAGCTTGTTCTGGGGAGTTTCTGCTCAGCCAAGCAGGATATAAAGGGTGTTTGCTAGCCTTTGTGTTATGGTATGTCCCCAGGACTTAGTGTCAGTATTACATAAATATGAACCAGCTGAGAGATCAAGACCAAGGTTTAGGAAGGGAAATGTGGAATAAGTCAGAACAAAGCTGTACTGGCATATTACAAACCCAGGCAGCTGTGTGTACAGATGCAAGGGAAGTAGCTTCCAGTCAATGCACTAGTACTCTTGGCCCCCCACACTGCAAAGCAGCACAGGCTGTGTGCTACATGGACAGTATCTTCCCTCCAGAACAGCTGCTTTCTATCTTGGTGAAGCTCGGGTCTCTGCAGGGTGGCCATAAGAGAAATTTTAACTGAGAGCCAGCAGCAGCATTCATGGCACCTTAGAGGTCTTCCCATTTCAATCTTGCAGGCCTGGTTTAGCAGTAGCAAGGAGTGCACCATCAGGTTTGGAAAGGTGGCTAAGAGATATGCTACAATAGGAATCAGTCTTGCAGGCTCCCTCACAGTGAGACCTGGAGCAGAGTGGGGGGTACGTGGGGTGCAACCGAGTGTCCAGCATCATTTCCCAAGGACATACTTACTTGTCCAGTCCAGGGCTCCATCCTGGTCAAGGGCGCAGGTGGAGGATGGATCCCCAGAAACACGCACAGTGAGGGCTTGTAGCAGAATCATTAAAATAACACCTTCAATCTGGCTGTGGGGAGAAGCCAACATGCAGTCATGGTGCCTGCCCAATTCATCAGTGCTGCAGACAAGCCCAGCTTCCCCAGTGAGGGGAAAGTGAGACCCCTTTCTGGAGCAGGGTCCTTCTAGCAGAGAAAGCTACTGCCAGAGTCCTCTGCCCAGGCACTTGGTTAACTGGCATTGGCTCACAGGGTGTCCAGGTCAGCCTTTCAGCACACCCCAAGACATGGGGCCAGCATGGCAGGACCGCTATGGAGGTGGGCAGGTATTGAACTACAGCTGTCAAGGAGCTGTGGCTTAGTCACTGGGCAGCGACTTGGAAATACCTCTCACTGCAGGGTTGAGGATGGAAAAAAGTCAGACTATGACTTCAGCCTCCTCCTCATTCATAGCTGGCTAGCAGCAGCAGCAAAGTCCACAACCAGTGGGAGAAAACAGCCTTCAAAGGCAGTGTCTAATGCCCCTCTGACTAAGTTTCTTGCTGCTGCAGCTCCACCTAACGCACACATGGCACTAGGCCGTGTATATCACTGCTTAGGGCTCCAACAAGTCATTCCTACTCCAGTCCAGTGCCAGCCCTAGGCATGTAAATTGATCACAGGAAGGACTGTCACTGTCCCATCTGTTGTGACTAAGTGCTCTGTGAGTGATGAGCCCCATATCCCTCAGCAGAGCACTGAGACCTGAAAAGTCCCTGTACTGTTGTGGGAATAGTTGCCCCTTTCAGGCATACAGCCCCCATCTGCTTCAAAGGTAGGTGATGCTGGGCGTGGTTAAATCCCACTTTGTTCCAAGCAAGGGAGACCTTCATCTTCCTTCTTGCTTTTCTTGCACCAATTCCACATACTCCTCTTGCTTTAAAACATTTAGCTCTTCAGCTCTATGGCTCCGCCAGCCAGCTCCCCACTTGCCATGGTCATGTGCGTGGACACTAGAGAGAAGTTCAGCAGCATGGCTAGCACTGATGCCCACACTCTTCTCTATCTGCATGCACACTCCTCTGTGTGTGTGTATGTCTGTGCTTGAACCCAAGCTCAGCTGTCAGTTGGATTTAACCTGCCTTCTTACCTTGCAACAAAAATCAGACCTGTAGATGTGCCCTCTCCCACGGGGTAGGAGCACTCCACAGCCAGCTCCATGGCAATGGGGTAGATGGCAAAACCAAAGAAACCGAAGAGTGAGCTGGTGATGGCCAGTGTGACAGTCTGATGTCTGAACCGAGAAGTCTGCAGGCAGAAAAGCAACACTGAAGTCTCAGTGTCAGCACTGCTGTGCAGCAAGTCTCTGAACTCATAACCTGCAGCAAGTCCCAAGGGCTCCCTGTTCTCACCAATACCTTCCCTAACTGTTCCTGAAATCTCTCTTTTATCTCCAGCCCTCTAAGAATCAACAAATGGCTACACGATGGAGATTGATCTGTTGCATATAAGCAAGGGGAGAGAGGATCAGCAGAATTACCTGAAAAGTATTGGTGTGGTCATAGTACTGTGACTTGACTTCTTGGTCAGTAACTTACCGGGAGTGTGCTCACCATATCTCCAGGATCAAGTGAAACACACACCTTCTTCCCAATGCAAGCTAATGTTTCAGAAGTGGTGTTTGCACTGGGTTACGTATGAGAATTTGCTGGGTTGCTGCAGCTCATTGATAAGGAAAACAATTCCTTAGTTGCTGCAGCTCAGTGATAAGGAGAACTATTCCTTATCATGTCAGACTCATGTTTGTAACTTTGGCATTTTACCACAAAAAAAGACCAAAACCACAAAACAAACAAAAAACTACCTGAAACATTCACAAACCCTGGCGATTAGTTTAGTGTCTAGAACAGCCTTGTCCCTAACTCTGGAGGAAAGAGCATGGATGGCCTTGTCCAGCCAATGCTAGTGAAGTCAAGGGCATAAATCCTGCAGCCACAGTGCTGCTACCTCCTTCCTTAACCGTGTAATAAATTCCCACAGAGGAACACGAAGTGTCTGTCCTGGCATAGCTGCAGTGGTCCTTGCCCAGCTAAAGTCAAGGAAAACCCTGTGTGTCTGGAATCTGAGTTCAAAGTGCCAAGGCATCAAGCAGATTTGAATGGGTGTTTTTCATTTTACTACTTTGAAGAAGTAGTTCATCTGTGTGGGATGAAGGGGATGGAGGAAGGAGAGGAGGGAAAGGTTTGCATGTTGCTCCTGACACAGTCTCTTGCCTGCCCTGTGCTTTACCTGGGCCCAGGCATGCTGACTTGTATTCAGAGCATCCTCCCAACAAATGCCAGAGTACTAGGCAGAAATGCAAGCTCTGCTTTAGGCACCTTGTGCTACACTGAGAAAGGCATTGCATTTGTCTGTCTCTTCAAAGTGGAGCTAACATCACCGGGATCTTGGCCCAGGGGGAGGTGTGATCACACTGTATTGAAAGTCTTGATTTTTCAACACACAGGAGAAATGCACAGCACAAGCCTACTGGGAAAGCAGAGACCTGCACCAGTCTGGGTCCTCTGCAGAGCTAGTCCTGTGCCTCATGCTCAGGTTGCTCCTGGGTAATGCCTCCCATTAGCAATGACTATGCTTGAATGCAGTACTTGCACTCCAGCCCCATGGGTGTAAAGTCTCCAGGTTCTGCATTCCTCTCCTGGCTGGACTCAAGTGTCCCCCTTTTCTGCATCCCCCTTGTCTTGTTCTCCCCAAGGAACTACTGCAGAACTAGGCACATAACTAGGTCCTTTCTGCTATCTTACGTTACTGGTAGACACCACTCTTAAAGGCAGGTGTTGAGAAAATGATGACATTCTTGTTCATTTTTGCAAGATGGATATTTAGCAATTCCATTTCTTTTTTGAAAGAATGGTCTCAGGATCAGTAAATAAACATGGTGATACAATGTATGAAGTAAAATTATGCCAATTTATTTATATCCTGAAGCAGTCTGTCTCAGGATCCACAGTGACTGTGAAATCCTCAGTAAAGGGTTTTTCTTTAAAACATTCCTAGCCCAGAGACATAATCCCAAAGCATAATACGTGGCTTAATAAATACTATAACATCAAACAACCTTGGTTTGAGTTGATGATTTATCAGATGGCAACAGAACTAAGCCCACAGGTATAGTGCAATGCAAGGGAGAACTCACCACTGCGAACACGATGCTGGCAAGCGCACTCAGACAGAAACAAATCTTGGTGGACTCTGTGAACTTCCTTGTCCGGTCGACATACAGGCCTAGCAGGAAAGCACCCAACAAACCACACACTGTGAAAAGTGCACCATTCAGGCCAGCAAATTCCTGGAGGGCAGAAGAACAAGTAACTGAGCAACTAGAGTAGTTAGGAAAGAAGAAGATTTTAACGTCACTGACCCATCTGCTTGCTCCTAGTGGGTCACTTACTGAAGTAGGAAAAGCTTCCCTGCCTGTTGCAATAGCTGAGGCCTCCATGGAGGTCCAAGTAGCAAATAGTGGGGCTCAGGTGCTACTACAAGTGTGTGGGGACAGCAGGGTCACAGCACTCCCAAGGGCTCAATGGATGAAAAGTCCCTGCACACCTGGCAAGGGAGGCTGGGTGCAGAGCAGCAGCAGTTCTCTGGCATTAAATGCTCCAGCCCAGGCATGAGATTGTTCTCGTCTCCTCCAGGGGCAATCAGGTCCGTTGTCCACACTGGCAGTAACAGGTCTAACTGCCTTGGGATCTGCTCCTGTTTATAATCTTGCTCCTGGCCCTTTTCTTACCAGGGACCTGCACTGGCGGAATGCCTTCCACAAGGCTGGCAGCCCCAAAACGTGTTAGATGAAACACAGCATCCCCTAGCTGTAGCAAGGAGATCTAATTAGAGAGGCAGTGAGCAGTAGTTAGGATAGGGTACATGCTCTGTTGCCTGCAGTGACTATCTTTGCTTGTCCTGCTCCTTTAGCTCCGTAAGAATTCAAATGCAGACACCAATCCTGAAAGCAGGGAAGCTTTACAAATTTGGGTAAACATTTGGGAGCCTCAGGGGCAGACTGGAAGGAAAGGTTGTCTGGAAGAGCTTCTGTGAGCTAAAGGGCCAGGGCAAGCCAGTCACATACAGACAAAACCACCATGATGCACAGAAAACAAGGCTGCAAAGTTTAAAAGGTTTCCAGTTAAAAGCCAATGGAGCGTGCAGATGTGACCTGGCTATGGAGCACTAAGCCAGGTATCAGACCTGGGCATTGAGTAGGAGTGGCCAGAGACCAGACCTGTAGATGTACATACATAACGACTGGAGAGGTGTTTTAAGAGGACTGTGGTGGGGATACAAGCAGCAGGACTGAAGTGCTGCCTGCCTGAGGGGAAACACAGGAACTGGGGCAGCCCCTTGCTACTGCAGGGAGAGAGCAGGAGGAACCAGCTGTGCACACAGTATGCTCAACTGTAAAAGCAGTGCCTGGCCAGTGTCATGGGAAGGATAGGGCAATAGCCATCACAGTACCTGTGAGTTCGTCTGCTGCCCTGGCTTCATGTAAGACTGTACAAAGAGGAAAAGGTGCTTCCATCAGCCAGCCTTTGGCTTCACTCTAAGGCCTGCCTGGACCCCATCCTGCTCTGGGGAAGGTGTCAGAAGGCTGCATAGACATCAGTGCTCTGGAGTGGCTTAGCAAAAACACAGCACTCTTTCTTCCTAAGAAGTGTTTCAGGAGTAAAGGTTTTTCATTTGCAAATGGGAGCCTGGCCACAGGCAGTAATGAAAACGCAGATCATCCATTATACTGAGATATTGACTGTGCTGTGGATTAATGTACTGCTTAATCTATATTAGATAATGTGAGTAAATAAGATAGGAGACAGTGCGGCATATTCAACTGTCTCCATTCTGCTCTGAGTTCCTTATCAGGGAAAATAATTTTGATTGTATCACAGATGATGAGGACGGTGGGGAGGAAAGGAGGAAGACTCACATTTGAATACCCCTTTTCACAAAGGATCTGTTCTAGCAGCGCTGAAAAGCAGGTGAACATCCCAATTCCTCCTCCAAAGCACACTGCCAGGATGATGTACGGCTTGTTTCTCAGGAGCTAGAGAAAGACGTTAAGGTATCATTCAAACAAGTGGAGGAGGAAAAAAGGCCTAGCTGTGACAGTAGACTTGAGGGTCAGTGGCTCTGACACCTCAGTTGGAATGTTGACAGGGCAACCCTGGGATCATTAGAGGAGTTTGGCTCTCTCCTGTCAGTTCAGCCAGAGGACAAGTTAAAATGGGGACCATGTAGGGAGGAAGGATTTCTTCAATGCCCAAATTCGTCCTTCACTTTGCCATATGCTGTCCTACTTGTTACCACATCTGCTCAGAAGGCTCAGATTGTGTGGTCCTCTTGGATGAGCCCAGGTGTGCCTGTCTGAGCCAGCCAAACAGCAGCCAGCCCACAGCTGAATGGTCAGATAGCATCTCTCGCAGCTTTGCTGTGAGCGGCTTCCACTTCCTGAGGCAGGAAGGGATCCTTGTCTCTTTCAGGGGGCTTTCCATGGCAGATTTGGTGGAGTGGAGCTCAGAGTCTGCTTTGTCAGCAGATTCCCCAGCATATCCCTGTCTGGCAGGGCTGCATCCCCGACTCCAGCAATGGTCTCTCTCTGTGCTACAGCACTTACCATTTTGAGCCCTGTGAGGAATGGCTGGGAGGTGGAGTTAGTGGCACTGGCTGAAGGAGGTGTTGGAGGAACCTTCTCATGAATCCCCACAGTTGCTAGAGCACAGGCTATTACTGCTGGGATGGCATAAACACACAGCTACACAACACAAAATAACAACATGTTACCAGTCTTTCCAGCTCCACTGCCTCCAAATAAATAAATCAGCTGGATCCCGATCAGCCAAGCTGGCTGATTAAAGCAGTTTTCATTTACCATCAATGGGATGTGCTTTCCTTCAGGAACTAGTGCAGGTGACAGCACGTTTGCTATAAGAATACCCAAGGGATTGGCTGGAAGGAAAGAAAACAGAGAGACACTTTTTTCATGTAAGCAGTCAGAACCATGTGTCCACCCCTACTGCCAGTCAGCACCAGAGCTGCAGTGTACAGCAAACCAATGAGTAAGGACAGAACAAGGCATATATAGGGAGAAACCAGGAGGGGAACATTTAGAGAAGTTGCCTGTGTGGTCTTACTCTTGCCACATCTGTTCCCTCACCTCTGTGAAGTCCATTCTATATGTTCTGTAAACCGATTTCCCTACAACCCCTAACTCCTGTAAACTGGTTTTCATCTATGAATTAGTGTCCTCACCCGCACAAGGCTGCCTCAGTAAATGCCAAGCTGATGGGAGAAAATGAAGATGGACGAATCCATGTCATCTGTTCTGATGTAATATAGCAGCAGTAACAAATAGAGGTCCTTTCCCTTCTTTACTCCCCCTATGCCATTAGGCACATATACATATGGATAAGATCCCCCTGACTCTTCTCAAGGGTGAACAGTCCCAGCTCTCTCAGCCTCAGCTGGCATGACAGACGCTCCATTCTCTTAATTGTCTTAGTGGCTCTTAACTGGACTTACACTAACAAGTCCATGTTGTTCTTGTACTGAGGAGCCTAGGACTGGACACAGCCCTTCAGATGTGGACAGGGGACCTCCCTCAAGCTGTTGGCAAATGCTCTTCCTGATGGTCACCAGGATGCCACTGGTCTTCTTTGCCAAAAGAGCATGAAAAGCAGGAAAGCCCTATGACAGCTCTCTAAAGTGACACTTGCTCATTCCTGACACCTTTCAAGCCAATACATTTCCTCAGTAAAGCCCAAGCTGGTATACAAGTTGATCTCTGCTACCAACTACAAAAATCACGTGGCAGAAGAGAATCTTGGACACTTGTCTGTACTGGAGTAGGGGTTTGTATTGTTATGGGGCTGGAGCTGAGTAGCACATGAAGCAGCACTCCTGGGACTCAGCTTGGGAACATCCAAAACTGCAGGAGACAATTTTTTAACTTTAAGGTGATGTTCTGCAAACATGTGCAGGGATGGGGTTAGCAAAGCCGTAGCCAACCTGGAATGGAGTCTGGTGAGAGATGTGAGGGGCAACAAGAATGGCTTCTACAAGTGCATTAGCAGCTAAAGGAAGGTTAGGGAAAATGTGGGCCTGCTGCTGGATGGGGCAGGAGACTTGGTGACAAATGACATGGAAAAGGCCAAGGTATTCAATGCCTTCTTCACCTCAGTGTTACTGGTAAGACTGGACTTCAGCCTGAGACCAGAGGTAGTCTGGAGCAAGGAAGATTTACCCTCAGTGGAGGAGGACTAAGTTAGGGAGCATTAAGTAGACCAGACATACACAAGTCCATGGGACTGATGGGATGCAGCAACAAGTGCTGAGTGGGCAGGCTGTTTTCATTGCAAGGCCATTCTTGGTTATCTTTAAAAGGCCATGGCAACTCCAAGAGGCTCCTGAGGACCGGGAAAGAGGAAATGTCACTCCCATCTTCAAGAACATCAAGAAGGAGAATCCAGGGAACTCCAGGCCTTTCAGTCTCACTTAGATCCCTGGGAAGGGCATGGAACAACTAATCCTGGACACCACTTCCAGGCACATGAAGGACAACAAAGTGAACAGGAGTAGTCAGCATAGGAGAAATGCTTAATCAACCCAATGGCTTTGTACAGTGTGATGACTGGCTGGGTGGATGAGGGGAGAGCAGTCGATGTTTTTTATCTCAACTTAAGGCTGTTGACACTGTCTCTTATAACATCCTCACAGACAAGCTGATGAAGTACTGGCTAGGTAAGTGGACAGTGAAATGAACTGCAAGTCAACTGAACAGCTGGGCCCAGAGGATTATCATCACTGGCACGAAGTCCAGCTGAAGGTCAGTCACTAGTGGTGCACCCCAGGGGTTGAATACTCTGGCCATTACAGTTTAACCTTAATGAAAACCTGGACAACAGGGCAGAGTGCACCACAGCCGGTTTGCAGATGATGTGAGACTGGGAGGAGTGGCTGATAAAAGAGGCGGCTACGTTGCCATTCAGAGGAACCTCAACAGGCTGCAGAAATGGGCAGAGTGGAACCTTGTGAAGTTCAACAAGAGGAAATGTAAAGTCCTGCACCTGGGGATGAATAACGCCATCCACCAGTACATACTGGGGCTGACCAACTGGAAAGCAGCTCTTCAGAGAAGGACCTGGTATGGGGGGTAGGGATCCTGGGGGACACCAACTTGACCATGAGCCAGCAACACAAACTCATGATATAAAGAAGGTCACCAGCATCCTGGGCTGCATTAGGCAGAGTGTTGTCAGTGCAAGGTGATCCTACCCCTCCACTCAGCAGTAGCGAGGCCACATCTGGAGTATTGTGTCCAGTTCTGGGCTCCCCAGTATGAGGGAGACATGGACTTACTAGTCCAGCAAAGGGCCAAAAAGATCATTAAGGGACAGAAGCTTCTGTCCTGTGAGGAGAGACTGAGAGAGCTGGGACTGATCAGCCTGGAGAAGCTGCTGGAAAGCAGTTTTGCAGAGAAGGGCATGGGGTCCTGGTGGACTGCAAGTTGACCATGAGCCAGCTGTGCACCCTTGCAGAAAGGTGTCCAACAGCATCCTGGGCTGCATTAGGAAGAGCACTGCCAGCAGGTGGAAGGTGGTGATCCTTCCCCTCTACTCAGTCCTGGTGAGAAACATCTGGAGCGCCGAGTCCCATGCTGGGCTCCTCAATACAAGACAGATACGCAGTTAATGGAGCAAGTCCAGTCAAGGGCCAAAGACATGATTAAAGGGCCAGAGCATCTCTCATGCATAAAGAGGCTGGGAGAGCTGGGACTGTTCAGCCTGGAGAAAAGAGCCTTGATCAGAGGTTGTAAAGAAGAGGAAACCAGACTTTTCCCAGTGGTGCCCAGTGGCAGGATAAGAGGCAATGGGCACAAACTGTAACACAGGAAATTCTGTCTGAATATAAACTTTTTTACTCTGACAGCGGTTGAACACTGACACAAGTTGCTCAGATAAGTTGCAGCATCTCCATCCTTGGAGACAATCAAAACCTGACTAGACACGACCCTGGCCAACCCTGCTTGAGCAGGGGGGTTGGATGAGACAATCCCAAGAGGTGCCTTCCAACCTCATCTGTTTTATCATTCTGCTGAGGCACCATTAATAGTGTTATAGCACACAACGACCATAGTATTTGTGCTATGTACTTGGGAAAGTACTAGCTTACGATCCTGGTGAAATGTTACCTGCTTATAAGTACATGGACACAATTAAACAACAGTTTCCAAGGAGATGGATTAAAGCTTCCCCGTTGGGGCAAAATGCATCTGGGCATTGTAGGGGACTGTCTGAAAACTACTGTCAGGTGTTTCCATGAACTATAGGCATGCTGAAGCAGTTCCAGAAGGTGTGGGTGAGGGGTGGAAATGTGAGCATTGGGCTAAATTTGAAAAGACTAAGTGAGACTATGTGAGTAATTACAGGGTTTCAACTGCCTTCTCTTCCTGCGAAAAGATATGAGACTAGACTAAGAATGGAAAGGAGATCACTGGAGTTAATCAGCTGTGCATTATGGTCCATGAGTCCTGGTGGATTAGCTTGCAGTACTCTGCAACGGGGCTGTGTGTTTTGTGGACAGTGATGTTAATGCACTAAAATTCTGCAGGGTGCAAAAAAGTGACATGCTGACAGACCACAGTAAATGAAGAATCCCATGGATGAAGCAGAGGCCACTTCAGTGGATTCAGACAAGTCTGTCTTCTCCTGACACAGGAGAATTTCTCATGGTCTTCACAGGGGATCAGTTCTTGGCCCTGCACTGCTCCTCTGTGAGTAAGTCTCTGCAAGTGATGGGGAGGACTGAGATACAACAAATACTTAAGAACACAGCTGAGTCATAGTGATTTCAGCTGCTCAGCAGGATGATGGATGCAGGGTCCGTTTTTGTCTGTACACAAGCATCGGGAAGCCTACTCAGAGGTACTAACAGGAGCTGTGGGGATACTGACAGGAGGCTGTAGGGCCAGTTTCTGTGTGCAGCACTGATACAAACAGTAAAACAATGCTGAGTGCTGCTCTGGCATTAACACAGGAAATGGGTATTGATAAATTGGAGCAAGCTGGGAGAAAAAGCTCATGTGAGCAACAGGCAGACATGGAGAGATGTGGGAAGAGGCAAAGGGAAAGCCTGTAAAGTGACTGGGTTGGAGCCATTCAGTCCTTCTAGACAAAGGAGAGAAGTGACTGTCCATAACTACCTGACAAACAGGGGGAACAAGACTGAATAGCTGGGGTATAAGGAACATCAAGATGAGAGGTAACATGTAGACATTTGCCAGTGAGGTAATTAACCACTGGAGTAAATGACTGGGGCTGTGGCAGATGCTTCTTCTAGGCAATATTTAAACTTTCTTGAAATGAAATGCTGATTTTGAATAGCAGACAGTAATGGGTGTAACCAGACATTATTAATGGAAGCCCTCTACACAGCAATATGCACGTGTTGCAGCAGATAATAATCGCAGCCCACAGTCCTCACACTGATATCTCAACATGTCACAGATTGAACAGCTTCAGGTCTTGGGTTTCCACTGTTCCTTGCTCTTCAGTTCCTTTCCCATAGTCAGATCCTGTAAGGACTGAGGACACTATGTGAAAGAAATGCTCTTGGCTGCTCTGGCTGCTCTCTCACTTAAAAGGAGCAAGTTGTCTGCAGGCTGGGGTCCTTCAGGGCAGTGAAGGACCAAGTGCCCAGTGGTCCCTAGTGGAACTCATATTGCACCACACTGACAACAGAGCTCCTCCTCCAGCAGGGAAGGTGAAGGTCTGTCTCAGCCCTGGAAACAAGTGAGCCATCAGGTCCACCGTATTCTAGGGAAGGCAGTGCAAAAAGAATTTATTTGTTCTGACACCATAAATCCATTCTTCCTAAACAACAGTGCCCGTGCTCTGGGTTTGCAGCTGCATTGGGAAAGCTGCATAAGGGTGCTCCTATACTGCCCTTTTTCCCATGCCTACCCCTTCCCCACGACTGAAAGGCAGTGGGGAGGGAAGGTAGCTGTTGGCTGTTTTGAGGGAAGGGCAGGTGGGGCTCCCCCACACATGAGATTTCCCAGCTGGAGCCAGTGAGCCAGCCCAGTTTCTAGGGCACCTCTCAAGTCCTTGAAGAAAGGAGGAAGAGATTTCTTCTGGCTGCTGGGGAAAATATCACATGGAAGGAGGAAACAGGTCTGTCAAGTGCAGTATCCTGTCTCTAGCAGGGCCCAAAGGAGCCAAGAGAGGAATGAGATTAGAGCAAGTATATCTGGTGCCTCCCCTCTAGTTTCCCAGATTCCAGGCACTTTGCAAGGCAGACGTGGTTTCTGCGTGGGTAGTCCTGCATTTAGCATCCCCAACATGTTTGTGTGGCCAGCAAAGTATATTTTATCTGTGTGCACATACACACCAATTGGGAATACATACTCGGCCTTGCCACTGGATGAACTGGTAGACAAAATTGCTGCAGCAGCCTCATCTCTATCCAGTTACAGAATTTGGCAACTATGACCACTGGCATTATATGCAATTTGTGCACCTTCCTAACAAGCTGCAGAATTAAGGCCACTACAGACTTTAGATTTAGTAACACTGAGGGCTGTCCCCAACCTCTATGATGTTTAGGCAAAGTTGATCACCTCATCATGGCAGAGAGGAAGAAGGTTGGGAGCCTGGGTGGCTTGCTTTGAACTTTGCACCTGCATGTGGCTAAGGCCCACTTTTTGCTCCCCAGTACAGAAATGCCTGCCTGTCTTGCGGGGCCTTGAAAGCTCTGGTTTATGGCACATGGCTATGAGACTCTTGGGCAGAGCTGTATATGCACAGCCAAATGGCTGTACTACAGAGGGTTTCCTCTGCCTGCTGACTCTGAAAGGCAAACAAATGTTAGCAAGTTGTGCTGGTTTTGGCTGGGGTAGAGTTAGTTTTCTTCATAGTAGCTAGTAGGGATCTATGTTTTGGATTTGTGCTGAAAACAGTGTTGATAACACAGGGATGCTTTCGTTACTGCTGAGCAGTGGTTGCACACAGTCAAGGCCTTTTCTGCTTCTCACACCACCCCACCTGCGAGCCCGCTGAGAGTGCACAAGAAGTTGGGAGGGGACACAGCCAGGACAGCTGACCCATACTGACCAAAGGGATATTCCATACCATATGATGTCATGCTCAGCATATAAATCTGAGGGAAGAAGAAGGAAGTGGGGGCGACATTCAGAGTGATGGTGTTTTGTCTTCCCAAGTAACTGTTATGCGTGATGGAGCCCTGCTTTCCTGGAGATGGCTGAACACCTGCCTGCCGATGGGAAGTAGTGAATGAATTCCTTGCTTTGCTTTGCTTGTGCGTGTGGCTTTTGCTTTACCTCTTAAACTGTCTTTATCTCAACCCATGAGTTTAGTCATTTTTACTCTTCCGATACTCTCCCCCATCCCACTGCAGGGGGGAGTGAGTGAGCAGCTGTGTGGGACTTGGTTGCCATCTGGGGTTAAACCATGACACAAGTTCTGGGAAGCAGTGATATTACTTTGCAGCTATCACTTACACATTGATGCGATCATATTTGCGGTTGCTCTCTGGTGGTCTGGGAACCATAGTGCTGCCAGTTTTGTCGGTGAAAAGATGATAAGGGGCTGTGCTAGTGCACAGAGACATTGCCCAATAAACAGGTACCAGTAACTCTGAGAACCCAAGCTCAGGAACTTCAGGATGCTGAACATCCGGATGATGCTACCTGTCATGTTCAGCCATGCGCTCAGGATCACCTGCAGCAAGCAGAAACAGCCAGGGATTGCATGCTGAAGCCTGAAGGGCAGAATTTAATGCAACAGAGTAGCATGAGCGGGGTGTCTGATGCACTACAGAAGACACTGGGTGTTAATGATCACTGCATGGAAAGTTGCCTGCAGACCACCCCCACCCCTTTGGGCCACTGCAAAATGCTTCTGATCCAACAGTGAGTTACCTGTCTGCTTAGGGAGCAAGGTGTCTGTCCTGGCCCCACAATGTAGCTTACGCAAGACAGCAGACACTGTCATGGAATTGGTGAGAAATCCAAAGTTCACTAATTACACTCTGTTTGCAAGTTTGCGCCATCACCCATATTTTGCTGTGACAATCCAAACATTACGGCAATGAGTCATCCAGCATACGGATCCTGCAAATGCTCTTCTATACCACTAGCAGGCTAGTGCTTCAATGCCACATTCCACAACACTCTTGCTTCTGGGAAGACTGTGCAGAGATCCCAAGCTGTCATAGCATAGACCAAGCTCTGAGTTGACAGGGGTCCCTTGCTTGCACGCTGCCCTGCTGCTCCTTAAAGTGGCCCTGCAAACAAAACAGCTGTGCTAACACTTTTCCATAGCAAACCCTACCCAATTATAGCAAGCTCTTCACAGAGTCAGCTCACAGTATCTGTCCCTGTCAGTTGGCTAAGACAACAAAAACTGAAGCAGGAAAAGGTAAGTAGGGGTGCAATGTTATTCTGACTTCCCTGCTGCTTCCCACCTCAGAGGTGATGAATAGTTCAGCTATTACTGAACTAGGACAGAGCTTTCAACATGCTCATCCTCTGCATCTCATCCTCTGGGCAAGACTCCCATTCACAGTATGCATGTTAGTGCTTTGTGCAGCTACTGCTATCTCTAGGTGAAACGCCCTCAGGGAAACAGAACAGTTCAACTCACAGCACATCTGAGTCCCACGCTGTCGAGAACCCATGTTGCCACCAGACCAAATGGGATTGAGATGAGGAGGTACACTATTGAGAGCCAGTTGACCATCTCCAGGGAAATGTGAAAGTAGGCAGCTGTCTTATCAGCCACAGGAGCAAACGTCAGCCACAGCTGCAGAGTAGAGAGCAAAGATGGGTAAACATGAACACCTCCACCAGAGCAGAAATTCAGCATCCCCTCAAACTGAGTTGTGAAGGGGCTCGCTGTCTGAGTCTCTCCTTGAAATTAGGATGTTAAGGCTGGTAACAAAAATTCAAACCCCCAGTTTCTGCAGTTACTCATGCTAGGACTATTTTACCACTGATATCACCATTATCTTGTCCCACAACACCCCATCCCCAGTCCCCTAGTCCTGCTGCTGGAAGCTGGCAGAAGCAGAGGTCAGTACCTTTTTCTGTCCCCAGGTTGAACATGTTGGCCCCTGATGCACTTACCTACCTGATGTAAACCACAAGCAATCCTTCTATGTTAGCATAAACAAAAAAGAGGCTGCCATCTTCTCTCTGCAACTAAGAGCCTCTTAAACTCGGCCTGGTATTTATCGTTGCATTGGTAACCCCTGGATGTGGTATTGTAAGGACAACTTTGCTATGCATCAGGCAAGAGATAACATTATTCCACGCTGTCCTACACACACTCAACGGTTAGGAAAGGGCCTAGACATTTGCATTATTCAATATATCAGAACACATAACAGGGAAACACAAGAGGTACTTTAATAACTATCCATCTTTTCCTTCCAGTACCAAATCTGAAAATATTTCCCTAAACCTTGTTTCAGGCACTGGTTTCATAAGGTTGCTGTCTGCTTCTGGTTTCTTCCAGGAATGACAAGGCCTGCTTTGATCCTCAAATCAGGTCCTGAGATCATGCCCACAAGAAAGAAATGAGGGTGCACCCCAAATTTGGGGATGCTTCTGTGGATTCTTTGTGGACATGCCCTCTCTGGTGCTTTTCAAAAAGACTGGCCTAACCTGAGAACAGGTTTCAATAACGTGGATGTAAGCTACTCCACTGTTAGAAGATGATCTTGCAGCTGAATACTCAAGATGATAAAGTTTGCAGAAACACGAACAAAAACTTCAGCTATAGCCTCCTACAAAAGAACTCCAGCCACTGTCTCTTTCCAGGTACCCCTCTCTGGCCATCACAAGCTTCCCCTTCACAGCCTGCATCCTGCAGACAGCATCAGCTGCAGTGTTAATGTGTAACTGAAAAAGGGCTTGGGTAACCTCAGCGAAAGGTGTGTCCCTACACTCGGCTACTTTTTATTTCCAGTGTTCCTATTTACTTCTTACATGCTAGAGACCATAAAACCTACCACATTAAATGGAAGCAGAAGGGGAGATGGGCTTTTCTTCTTTCTTAGTGCCACTGTGTGAGAATAGCCACATGCAAATCATTGTTTTGCTCAGCTTTTCTCCTAGCAGGGATGCAGGCAGTAACAGAGACATTCTGAACGTATTGTCAGTGTCCCAGCAAGGAGTCCTAGCATCAGCCCTTTCCTCTTCTCTGAAAGGATCCGAGATGCCAAATCTCCTGCATTCAACATGAAGCTCACATTGCCTTGCTGGGCTCAGACACGCCCATGTGGGATCAGTCAAAGGTCCGGCAGTGGATGGATTTGGTGTTTACTCAGCTTCTACAATCAGGTGGATGAAGGTGCTGTGTGCTGAAGGAAACTGTACTCTTGTTAGACAACAAGGAGGCTATTCCAGGTCACTGGGAGACTTGCAGCACACTTCTAATAAAATGAGCTCTTTAAAAATTCCTTGAAATGATATATTATAGTGGAATGATGTTACCATCTTATCTCAGGAAGAAATTTCACCTACCTGTTCTTTTTTCCAGAACTGATGTCCTTCAGATTCGGATGGGAATTTAAACGTTTAATGCTAATGTAACCGTTTAAATGTTACAAGCATCACTAAGGCATGAGCATGAGTTTGATTATGGGATGCTAAACTGCTGCTAAACAGAACCCAGCTGTGCATTCCCAGAAACAGCAATTCTCAGTTCGTCACTGCCTTCCAGATGGGGTTGTTGGTGATGAAACACTGTACCAGGAAATAGTGTGATTAAAGAGATGATACATTTTGTAAGCCAGCTTCAGGAACATTTTCGCCCGTCCTGTTCCTCCACACAAGACACTCACCCATGCATGACATCATTAAGGGGAATGGTGCCACAAACCAGAGCACAGCATTTTGTGTTCAGTAGCTGTATACATCTAGGCAAGCTGGGATCAAGCATGCTGGCATGTTTCCATTAGACCTAATAAAACCATTCACTGATGAAAACCAAGGATTTGGGCTGTCCTGTATTTCTATCCTGAGCAAGAGCTCCAGTTCTAGCATAGGTGTGCGAGAGCACAGAAGGTGGGAAGTTGCAGCCTGTCCAAGCCTGAATTTGTTCTTCACAATAGGAAGTAGGTTTCCTTATGGGTCTGGAGAGAAAAAGTATGTTGCTGCCTCCATTCAGGCAGGGTTTGCTTACCATATGTTGCTCTAACAAAGAAATTAAGAACTGGACAACAGAGCTCGAGGTTATCTGTGGTCAAAATGGCCACCAAATGTCCCTGCAACAAAGAGATGGCACTGCTGGGTTTTGCCAACACAGGGAAATTGCCATGCTAAGCAAGTGAGTATGCCACCTTCTGCTTTTGGTTTTTCCAGCTATGATGACTTCATCCACAGTAGCTAGCAAGTTCTTCTGCTGTGAGCTAGAGACCTTATCCTACATGTTGTTTCTGAAACTTTGCACCGCCAAGGCTGGTACTTATGCAGAGACTGCCATGATACACATCCCCTCAGGCAGAACGGGGTGAGGATGATGCAGTTTTTTCCTGGTGAGGTCTAAGCCCTCTAACCTCTAAAGATGCAGAATAGAGACAGAGAGATTCCTCTCTCTCCTCCACCCACCCAGGGCCATTGTCTTAACTCAGCTTTGGCACACCAAAACCAGTGTCAAAGGTCCCCACTGTAGATCACGGTGACAGATGCAGGAGCAGAGATAAATATGTGGGGTTATAGGATGCCAGCTCCCAAAAGCTGGCTGCTCCTGGGACATATAAAGGAAGGAGAAACAGACAGACACCTCTGTCCTTGCAGGGTTGTCTACACACTTGTTCAGTCCCTGCATAATGCTCTCTTTGTGGAAATACGCCCTTGTGGTCTGCCCAAGCTGCACTCAGCTCCATTGCCTGTGTAGCTACACAGACCTAGAGCTTCAGTGTGAGGTGCAGAAGGCATCAGTGGGAGACTCTGTTGCACACCACACTGCTACATCCATGTCCACATGTGCTCCTCTGAAGGCAGCTCAATGGATGTCACAACAGCAGAACTGAGAGAGTTCAGCCCCTTGTCAATGTCTGTTCCTGACTTGCAATGGTGACAAGCAATTTCCATTCACCCACTATGGCTTATGCCTCTTCTGAGCCCAGTCAGGGCTGCAATTAACCAAAACCTTTTAGCAAACTTTAACAAAGTTCCCAGCTTGGCACCCCACAGATCAGTAATGCCTTGTCTCTGAGACTTCAAATGCACCCAGCTCAGAGTCCCACACACTGAATACTCAACAACTACCTTGTGCAGTCCCCACAGCAGAACACAGCTGGGCTGCTTAGCGAGTTGGAGTGGATGATGTTGGAGGTCAGCAGGAGTCCACTCTCTGCGCCACAGCATAGTTAGGTCAAGCCATTTACACAGAAGCCCACAAACAGCCACGCAAGCATAGGGACTCTTGCCTTTGAACGCCAACCAACCACAATGGGTTTGCGAGCCCATCCCCTTAACACTTGGCAAAACTCACTTCCCAGCATTACCTTGCAGATTTTGCATTATTTGTTCTCAAATGACAGCTCCTACTGTAATATAATCCAGTACCATTGGCCATGGTCACTCAAGTTGTAGACCATAGTATTCGATCTGTCAGCATTTGGGATGGACTTTTTCCTCCCTTCAGATATGCATCTAGCAGGATGTTGAAATAGCTGCTGTAATAACACACACCATTTCTTCTCCAAATGCAGAAATTATAGTTCCCACACTCTTCCCCCCTCTGCTTAGCTCAAGTGTTAAAAAGCATGTTCATCTCACTGTGATTTCTGAGTTTAGAGACAGCAAAAGCTCCAGTGTGTACTAGTTTGGGCAGGAAGTCATACCTAAGCATACACTCTTCACTATAAAAACTTGTGCTCTACACAGTGGGCACAGCAACCAATGAAGAGGACAGAAAGTCCCCTGAAGATCTGCGAGCCTGTTCTGGCTTGCAATGGAGTACAGCTGTAGCTCCCACTGCTTTCAGCACACAGCTGGCTGATTGGGTAGCTATGCCCCATCACTAGAAAACAAGGACAGAAATATTTTCCACCCAGAGTCTAATCCTCAATTACAGGAGAACCCCCTCCACACTTCCTTTAAAAATGGAGCATGTGGGACCACCAGGGAAAGCAAGTGCACTGAAACTCAAACCATCTGACTGGTACTGATGTTGGAGGGGTACTGGCTCCACTTCCAGCTCTCCCTCCCTTTGCTTTAACTTTCTTCCAGCTGACATTTTGTTTTCTCTTCTGTACCTCCTAGAGACTGTCTGCTCCCTTCCCCATTAATTGCAGGCCTGCTTGGGCACTCCTGTAACCAAGAACAGGTTACAGCTGTTCTCATCCTGTCCCCATTTCTAAGCTTCTTTGTTCTCTTTCTGATACATTTGTAAACCCTTAACTGATTCTCAGACATGGATCCAGCCCTCTTCCCCCCAGAATCAGCCCAAACCCCCTAGTTTTCCTTCTGCTTTCATTCCCCTTTTCCCTCCGTCTTCTCCAGGTTCAGTTTCTCTACCCTACTGCCTTTACTGTTTTCACTCCCTCGCAGACTCTCCAGGACCTATTTCACCTGCAGGACCCAGTCTCCCTTCATCCATTCCAAGGGAGCCCAACATTCGCCCTGCCTCCCACTTCTGCAGGCGCTTACTGGTGGGCTGTGAGCCACCAGTTCTCTGTCTGCAATGGTAGCAAGGTGATGGCTGAAGGCAGGACTCCATAGAGACTCATACACTTTGGTAAGCAATAGGTGTGAGCTACAGAAGGCAGCATAAATAAACACAGCCCCAGG